TCTTCAATTTAATAAAAAAAAGATTGAAAATTCTCGGACATGGTGGACAAGTTTCAGATTGGAGATCTGGACATTGGAAAGGTTAAATGTCAGTAAACAGAAGTTAAATTCAATTTTTGCCTTGTTAGGGAGCCAATGCAGCTCATACAAGTAAGGAGTGGTGGGAACCTTAGCTGAGAGCAGAAATACCAATCTAGCTGCATGATTCAGTCCAGGCTGAAGTCTGTTTTAACAAGTAGTTAGGCAAACCCTTAAGCAATTGGATAAATCACTTTAAGAGGAAACAAACTTATAGATAAGAATCAAAATACACCTACCATCCGACTTACGACCTGCTCAACATACGACGACTCGACTTACGACCGTGTTTTTTATGCCAAATTTCTGGGAAATAAACAAGTGTTTGTGTTGTACACAGCATTTATCCTAAACCTTACAGTATAAAATACAGTACTAGCAGCATAAAAAGTAAAGTAAAACATGAAATACCAAAATAAAACAGTAAAATAAAGTCATTACAAAAATGTTATGTTGATATTCAGTAGTAAAGTTCGACTTACGTCCATTTCAACTTACGACTGGTTTCTCGGAGCTGAACTCGGTCGTAAGTCGGATGGTAGGTGTATATGCTCTCCTTTTAAGATATTTTCTGACTGCATAGAAATTAATTTAAAAAAATTCAAGATTTAACAATTTGGTTGATTTTTTTTTTTAACACACTGCCCATCTCCCAGATCCCTCACTGATCCCACAGGCTGCAAACTGACAGTACCACAATCAAAGGAACCAGAGTCCCCAGTGTACTACCCAGCTTTACCGTCATTTAGTTTCAATTTTCTATTTATCAACCAAATATCCAATGAAAGAGAACTACAACAGAGTCTTGCATGTTGCATATTTAGAACTAGCATGTAGACTTGTGTATCATCAGATTGGAAATGATAATCAACCTTGTGGTCATCCAGCAGTAGGTTAAGCTACTACAGTGGACCCCCGCATACCGTTGGCCTTACATAACGTTAAATCCGCATACCGATACATTTTATCGCTAAGATTTTGCCTCGCATACCGCTAAAAAACCTGCTCAACGCTGTTCGTCCGAGACACATCTATGTGAGGCCTGAGCGAGCCTCACATGTTCCGCTGGTGGCATTGTTTACAAGCCAGCCTCCGCGGTAACATCCAAGCATATAATCGCGGTAACATCCAAGCATACAATCATAACATTTCGTATTATTACAGTGTTTTTGGTGATTTTATCTGCAAAATAAGTGACCATGGGCCCCAAGAAAGCTTCTAGTGCCAACCCTGTGGTAAAAAGGGTGAGAAATATTATCGAAATACTGTGGTACCATGGTCAACTGCTGATGCTGCTGCTGTAGCACTGTCAGCTGCTGCTGCTGCTGTAGCACCGTCAGCTGCTGCTGCTGCTGTTGTAGTACCATCTGCTGCTGCTGTAGCATTGTCTGCTGCTGCTGTAGCACTGTCAGCTGCTGCTGCTGCTGTAGCACTGTCAGCTGCTGCTGCTGCTGTACCACCGTCAGCTGCTGCTGCTGCTGCTGTAGTACCGTCTGCTGCTGCTGTAGCATTGTCTGCTGCTGCTGTAGCACTGTCAGCTGCTGCTGCTGCTGCTGCTGTAGCACTGTCAGCTGCTGCTGTAGCACTGTCAGCTGCTGCTGCTGCTGTAGCACTGTCAGCTGCTGCTGCTGCTGTACCACCGTCAGCTGCTGCTGCTGCTGCTGCTGTAGTACCGTCTGCTGCTGCTGCTGTAGTACCGTCTGCTGCTGCTGTAGCACTGTCAGCTGCTGCTGCTGTAGCACTGTCAGCTGCTGCTGCTGTAGCACTGTCAGCTGCTGCTGCTGTAGCACTGTCAGCTGCTGCTGCTGTAGCACTGTCAGCTGCTGCTGCTGTAGCACTGTCAGCTGCTGCTGCTGCTGCTGCTGTAGCACTGTCAGCTGCTGCTGCTGCTGCTGCTGTAGCACTGTCAGCTGCTGCTGCTGCTGCTGTAGCACTGTCAGCTGCTGCTGCTGCTGCTGTAGCACTGTCAGCTGCTGCTGCTGCTGCTGCTGCTGCTGTTGTAGCACTGTCAGCTGCTGCTGCTGCTGCTGCTGCAGCACTGTCAGCTGCTGCTGCTGCTGCTGTAGCACTGTCAGCTGCTGCTGCTGTTGCACTGTCAGCTGTTGCTGCTGCTGTAGCACCGTTGTTGGTGTGGCTTATTGAGAATACCAAGAAACAATTAACCCCAGAGGGTTAGCCACCCAGGATAACCCAAAAAAGTGTGTCATCAAAGACTGTCTAACTTATTTCCATTGGGGTCCTTAATCTTGTCTCCCAGGATGCAACCCACACCAGTCGACTAACACCCAGGTGAACAGGGAAAAACGGCTGGAACTAGTGCTCATATTGGTGAATTTAAAGCCAGCAAAGTTTGGTTTGAGAGATTTAAGAATCGCTGTTGCTTGATCAGTCAGCTGTTGCTAGATCAGTCAGCTGTTGCTAGATCAGTCAGCTGTTGCTGGATCAGTCAGCTGTTGCTGGATCAGTCAGCTGTTGCTGGACCAGTCAGCTGTTTCTGGATCAGTCAGCTGTTGCTGGACCAGTCAGCTGTTGCTGGATCAGTCAGCTGTTGCTGGATCAGTCAGCTGTTGCTGGATCAGTCAGCTGTTGCTGGATCAGTCAGCTGTTGCTGGATCAGTCAGCTGTTGCTGGACCAGTCAACTGTTGCTGGACCAGTCAGCTGTTGCTGGATCAGTCAGCTGCTGCTGCACCACGGTCAGCTGCTGTTGCACCATCAGCTGTTTCTGAACATGACTCGTCCCGAACCTGTCCGTCCAGCCTGAGCGCCTGCCTTGCCGTCATTGTTTACAAGCCAGGGTGGCCAGTTGCATGCATACATTCGATACATTTTGTATTATTCCATTATTTATAGTGCTTGTAACTGATAAATAAGCCACCATGGGCCCAAAGAAAACTTCTAGTCCCAACCCTGTGGTAAAAAGGGTGATAAATACTATCGTACCACAGTCAGCTGTTGCTGCACCATGGTCAGCTGATAAATTGGACCAGTCAGCTGCTGCTGCACCACAGCTGCAGCTGCACCATAGTCAGCTGTTGCTGCACCCAGCTGCTGCTGCACCATGGCCAGCTGCACCACAGCTGTTGTTGTTGCTGCACCACCATCAACTGTATTACTCGAAGATGTGGAGAGAGTGTTGTTGGTGTGGCTTAACGTGAAACAATTACCGAGAAACAATTAACCCCGGAGGGTTAGCCACCCAGGATAACCCAAGAAAGTCAGTGCATCATCGAGGACTCTAACTTATTTCCATTGGGGTCCTTAATCTTGTCTCCCAGGATGCAACCCACACCAGTCGACTAACATCCAGATGAACAGGGAAAAAATGCCTGGAACTAGTGCTCATATTGGTGAATTTAAAGCCAGCAAAGGTTGGTTTGAGAGATTTAAGAATCGTAGTGACATACACAGTGTGATAAGGCCTGTTCTGGAAGAAAATGCCAAACAGGACCTAGAGTACTCAGGAGGAAAAGGCAATCCCAGGACACAGTGTCTCATCAGTCATTGCTGCATCTTTAATAAAGGTAAGTGTCATTTATTCTTCATTTAGTAGAGTAGTACATGCACAATATATACTGTGCATGTACTACTCTACTGTTATGCATGTATCCTTCTCTTGGTGTGTAGGAAAATGTATATTTCATGTGGTAAAAATTTTTTTTTCATACTTTTGGGTGTCTTGCACGGATTAATTTGATTTCCATTATTTCTTATGGGGAAAATTCATTCGCATAACGATAATTTCGCATAACAATGAGCTCTCATGAACGGATTAATATCGTTATGTGGGGGTCCACTGTATTATAAATAATTAACAATACTGGTCCAAGAATAAAAGCCCTGAGGAATGGCACACAACTAAGGAGATGGCTCAGCTACAGAATTATTGAATACTATTAGATATGACTGATCAGAAAGATACAGGTACAGAACTAACAAAGCAGTGCAGCCTCTCCTCACTTAACAATGGAGTTCCATTCCTAATATCATGTCATTAAATGAATTTGTCACTAAGAGAGGAGCATACTATAATGGTAGTGAGTTTGTGTCAACCATCTTTGATATTGATTTACTGTCATCTTTGCACTATTTATAACATTTCTTGTATATTTTTAAATGTTTATACAGTAGTGTACTGTATATTGAAATTAACAGAATAGAGGAAATCAGCCCTAATATACATACATTACTGAGGTATGAATACTGGTGAGAGAGCCTGTCGTAACTCCGAGGTGGTAAACGAGCATGTCACTAAATGAGGAGAGGCTGCATTCCTAATGCCATGGCTGAAAAGCTTACTGTCAGTAATTGATGATCAGTGGTGTTAAAAGTAACAGAGACCAAATAAAACTAGCAGTGATGCATTTTCTAAACTAGTCTTTAATATCAAATTATTATAAACTTTATACAATTTGTCTAAGTTGAATGAAATGGTGTGTACACAGACTGAACACACAGTTAAGCATTACTCTGCAACAGCTTAAGAACATAACTTATTCTACATTATATATTTTGTCTTGACTGTTGTTGTCAGTATGCCATTTGGATCCATCCTATCAGAGTAGAACTTCTGCTTCATAGTTAATGATTTTTGGAATATTTTTTTGGAGGAGGGGCATAGATATGTTGTAGTTTTTGATCTGTAGTGTAGACACACCTCTAGCAAGACAGTGATGGAGTAAACAATGATAAAAGTGTTTCTTCTTTTTTGTCACCCTGCCTCAGTGGGAAATGGCCGATGTATTAATAAAAAAATAAATATATTGCTCAGTGGAATAAGGTGCCCATTATTGGTTGCTTTCCTTAGAAAGATTGAGAGATGAAATTATTTTTTATTTCCAGTATTATACATTTTATTTTTTAATTTTTATGTAAATTTTTTTATTTTTTAACACTTTCCATTCTCCAATTGGTCCTGTGATAGGGACTTCAAAATTGCAAAGTTAGTGGACGTGATTGCAGCAGTGATTCAAGCAGCTCATACTGGTCACAAAGCACTCACCAGTTGCCAATCTCATCCATTATAAGTCAGAGCGCTACAGCAACCCACATTGAGCCAAGGTCAGTATTTTTTTTTTTTAAGGTGAGTATATATACATATACAGTGGTATCTCGGGATACGAAATTAATTCGTTCCAGAAGGCTGTTCGAGTGCCGATACTGAATGAATTTGTTCCCATAAGGAATAATGTAAATTAGATTAATCCGTTTCAGATCCCCCAAAATACACTTACAAAAGCACTTACATAAATACACTTAAATAATAGTTCGAGTTTTGAGGTGTTCATATCCCGAGGTACCACTGTATTTTTTATTAATTTCATTGGAGTCCCCAGCAGGACTGTGAATTTTCTAACATATTTTTCCAGTGACTGGTTTCTAGATTTCTTTATCTTCGCAGCCTGGCTTTGACCAGACTTCTTTGTTGGGTGCCAGGCCAACCAGGTTGTTGCTTCTAGCAGCCTGTAGGTCCACATAGTCATCACAACCTGGCTGATCAGGCACTTCAAGTAAATAGTGGTCTGGTTTCATGGTGAAAACTCTACCTGTTCCAGCAATATTCCTGGTATCTCCTGGTAAAAGGTTGAGTGGTCTTGGACCACTGACATTGACCCTATATTCTCAGGCTGTATCTATGGTACCTCTGCTTTCCACTGTGATGCTACTTCTCTTTTTTCAATATATCTCACTCACATTTATATAGCATTCTCCCAGTCCTACCCTAGCTAACACACAGGTACCTATTTTTACTGCTTGGTGAGTAAAGCAGTAAAGAAACTTTCACAAATGTTTTGCTGGCCCAAGAATTGAACTTAGAACCTTTCTGGTGTGAGATGAACTGTCTCACCACTAAGCTACTTATCACCCCAGGAGTACACATATATTGTAGTACATAGCAGTGTAAAGGGGGTATATTTTAGACAAATTCTTTGTATATATGTACGGTAGGGCCCCACTTATACAGCAGGTTAGGTTCCAGGCTACCGCTGGAAAGCAGACATTGCCAGAAAGCAGAACGTCTATTTTTCCACTTATGAATGCCAGATAACAAGGTTACACAAAGTTAGCAGTGGAACTAGGTATGAAAAACAAAAAGTGAAATACACACACAGTACACTCATACTGACCTTAAAATACTTGTAGTTTTAATGTAGGGTGAGAGGTGAGTAGTATTTATTGTAAGAAGTCAGGTGTGGGAGGTATGGTAGACAGCCAGGCCACCCCACCCCACACATAATATACTACGACATTTAGAGCTCCCTAGAGCGATAAAATGCATATACATACAGTACACTCATTATTTACCATAATTAAAATATTTGTAGTCTTAATGTAGGGTGAGAGGTGAGTAAACAAGATAAAACTAATAAACAAGAGAGGGAGAGAGAGAAGTAAATAAGAGAGAACAGAAACGCAAAGTATGTAAACAAGGAGACAAACGCGTCTGGTTCATACACATCATTTCCATGTTTGTGAAGCTTTTACCATAATACAAACACCTTACATTGTGTACATGTTGTTTCCATGTTGGTACAGTAGAATAAATAAAGAGCAACACTCCCATTCTCATTGACCTATAGAAGGAATGACGCTCTGAGTGAAGGCATACGAAAGGAATAATTTTCTACAGTTACCCCCAGTAATACTATTGCACACACATTATCTTTGGTGTTGGACTGGAGAAAACGTTATTCTTTCCAACATCGCATATTTGTGATTTATTTTACTGTGGGTGTATTTATCATGTCTATATGTTACCTAGTGTGTTTACCATATAATTTTGAAAAAAATATCATAGATGGATTCATGAAAATATCTATGTTAACGTAATATATGACATTCAATGCACCTCAGAGTGATAATTATTGCATTTGATTATCATCATCATTATTAATATGGCATCTTCAAGACTAATAAGACAGTCTTAGTGATTTTAATTTGTACCTGGATGCCAGCACAGTGTGATATATAAAATATATTTTTATTAAAATAGGGAATGTACAAGAGTATAATGGTACCAACACTCTTATATGGGTGTGAAGCATGGGTTGTAAATGCTGCAGTGAGGAGGAGGCTGGAGGCAGTGGAGATGTCATATCTAAGGGCAATGTGGTGTAAATATTATGTAGAGAATTTGTAGTGTAGAAATTAAGAGGAGGTGTGGAGTTACTAAAATTATTAGTCAGAGAGCTGAAGAGGGGTTGTTGAAGTGGTTTGGTCATTTAGGGAGAATACAACAAAGTAGAATGACTTGGAGAGCATATAAATCTGTAGGGGAAGGAAGGTGAGGTAAGGGTTGTCCTTGAAAAGGTTGGATGGATGGGGTAAAGGAGGTTTTGTGTGCGAGGGGCTTTAGCTTCCAGCAAGCGTGCATGAGCATGCTAGGAGTGAATGGAGATGAATGGTTAGGGGACCTGACAAACTGTTGGAGTGTGAGCAGAATAATATTTTGTGAAGGGATTCAGGGAAATCGGTTAGCTGGACTTGAATCCTGGAAATGGGAAGTACAATTCCTGCACTTTAAAGGAGGGGGTTTGCAATATTTGCAGTTTGGAGGAACATCTAAACAAGGTGGCGTCGTAAGGGGGTGGGCCACCCCCGCGGTGGCACCATTTAGGGAGTGACACCATAGAACCTCATAAGAAGGTGACACTAATCCCCAAAACAGTGCTGCAGCAACATAAGAGAAGAATCCTTCATTTCTGTATAGCCTATTTTAGGATTACAGAGTACAGTGGAACCCCGAGTTTCGGCCGTAATCCGTTCCAGACACTTGGCCTAAACTCAAAGCGGCCGAAAGTCAAAGCAATATTTCCGATAAGAAATAATGTAAATCCAATAACTCCATTCCAGACCCACAAAAATATACACAAAAAATACATTTTTTAAAGAATATAGTTTTACATACACAAAACAATTATAAATACATATATAGTGGACCCTCGTTTTTCGTAATTAATTCATTCCAGAGAGTGTGACTATTATCGAAATTGATGATTTGTGAATCCAATTTCCCCACAAGTAATAATGTAAATCCAATTAATTCGTTCCAGACACTCAGAAGTATCAAAAAAAATTTTTTTTTTTTTTTTTACCTTAACCCTTTCAGGGCCCAAAGCCAAAATCTGTAGTGGTGCCCCAGTGTCCAAGAATTTAAAAAAAAAAAAAAAATATATTTTTTCTTATGAAATGGTAGAGAATATTTTTGTGAAGGTAATGAAACAAAAAGTATGAAATTTGATGGAAAATTGGAGAAATTATGCTCTCGCGAATTTTGATGTGTCAACGATATTTACGAATCGGCGATTTTGCCGACTTTGACTCCCATTTTAGGCCAATTACATTATTCCAGTCGACCAAATTCTTAGCTATTTCACTAGTATTACTTCTATTCTATCGATTGAGTACAAGAAATCGCCAAGTCAGCTGTTTCAACTACAAAATAAAATGATCGGAAATTGGTAATTTGGCCAATTTAACACAAAGTTCAAAATATTCCAGTTTCAAAATAGGGTCCAGAATAAACAATGTAGGTATTCCTGGCACTAAACTAACATTTCCTCTGTTCATTAGTTACATTTTGAGGCTTTACAAATAAATTCCATTTTGATTTTTTATTCACATAAATGAATTTTTATTCACACCAAAAAATAGAAGATTTACTGTTATGCAATATTGTAATAATTGTATAAATATCACCACCACATTTGTGAATGTATATTAGACCCACCAGCTGGCGTGTATTAGACGTGTGAGGTCATTTGTTTACTCTTGAACATCGGCAAAAATTTAACATTTCCGATACTTTGAGCTCAGTTTCAAGCCATTTCCAGTGCTAAAACCAATAAAATCATCTCTATTTCTGTAATATGTCTTCCATTCTATCAGATGAAACCAAGAAATCGCAAATACAACTATAAAAAACATACGAAAAAACACTGCAAAGTCACTGTTTTAATCGAAAATCACGGTCTCAGTTTTTTCTCTCATTATACACAGTGTGCTGCAGGATTTGTTTTATGTGGTGCACACATACCACATAGATGTATTCTCTCATATCTAGGCCCAAATTTACCACTCACAGTTTATCAGAGTGAACTGAGCTCATGGCGTAGATCTACGGTTTGGACCCTGAACATAAAGCCGTAGATCTATGGGACAGACCCTGAAAGGGTTAAAGATAGATTTACATGCACAAAAGAATGAACATTCAACATGACGGTTACCTTTATTGAAGGCTGTTGTTGATGAATGGAAGACAGGGAGGAGGAGAGAAGGAAGAGAGATTATTGTTTGGAAGGGGAATCCCCCTCCATAAGGGCTCTAGGTCACTTCAGGGGTCACTTTCCTAGCTTAAATATAGATTTACATGCAGAAAAGAATGCCAAATAAATGTAAAGCTCTAATAAAATGTATAAATGAACATTTAACATCACACTTACCTTTATTGAAGACTCTTGTTGGTGTATGGCAGACAGGGCAGAGGGAGGAGAGGCGAGTTTTTTGTTTGAGAATATGACACTAGTATCAACTCTGTGGCTTATTTATCTATCACAATTCAACTAATATGACATAATAAACAATATTAATAACATAGAAACATGGAATATACTCTAGAATGAATAAAATAAGTCATGTATGAAACAAGAGGTGTTCTGTTGGGTGTATAAGGGCCAGTGAGAGCATAAGCCGTCCATAATGGTGGTGAAGGAGCAGCTGAGGTGGCGGTGTTTTCTGTAGCCCTATATAACTCCAACAACATTGGAGGAGTTAGTAGAAATGTTGAATTACTGAAGAAGGCACCGTCTACCATCATCACAACCACTACCACCCTATACCACCATCACTAGCACCCACTACCACTACCCTCTACCACCATCACTACCCTCTACCACCATCACTACCACCCTCTACTACTATCACAACTGCTACCACCATCTACCACTATCACAACTGCTACCACCCTCTACCACTATCACAACTGCTACCACTCTACCACCACCACTTTCTTATTTTTCTACAAACTTTTACTTAAATTACGTATATGTGTTTATCACATT